CTTCCTTCCTTCCTTCCTTCCTTCCTTCCTTCCTTCCTTCCTTCCTTTCTTCCTTCCTTCCTTCGTTTCTTTCTCTCTCTTCTTTCTTTCCTTCTTTTTTTTTTTTTTTTACAAGACAGGGTTTCTCTGTTGTAGCCTTGGCTGTCCTGGTTTTGTACACCAGGCTGGCTTTGAACTCAGAGATCCACCTGCCTCTGCCTCCCCAAGTGCTGGGATTATAGGTGTGCATCACCTGCCCGGCTAGGCCTTGAACTTTCAATTCTCCTGCCTTAGCTTCCTAGGTAGCTGGGATTAAGGACTGTAACCACAAGGTCTAATGGCCTCTGGCTCTTCAGACAGGCAGCTGTTGATCTGTGCAGGAACTGGGGTGTGGGAGCAGGGTGCTGTGGAGACCTGGTTTTGGGTGGGTGGAGAGGAACTTGTAAAACTGGAGTTAGATGACGGGAAGGCAAGAGCGACTTCTTTTTGTTTGTTTGCAGAAAAGAATGAGTCCATGTTGTGTCATTTCAAAACTGTGTTTAGAATCTGTGAATGTGGGAAGGGGGCATGAGTGTCACAGTTCTCTTGTGCCAGTTAGAGGGCCACCTGTGGGAGTCATTGCTCTCCTTCCACCATTGGGTCTCAGCGACCAAACTGAGGTGGTCAGCTTTGCTGGCAAGTGCCTTTACATGCTGAGCCATCTCACCAGCCTCTTTGTTCACTTTGTAGCCCAGGCTGGCCTTGAGCTCACAGACATCCACCTGCCTCTGCCTTCTGAGTGCTGGAATTAAAGGTGCATGTTATCGTGGCTGCTTAGGGACTTTGTTGTAGTTTTGTTTTTTGAGACATGTTTACTTTGTTAGCGTTGGCAGGCCTAGAACTCACTACATAGCACAGGCTATCCCAAACTTGTGGCTATCTGCCTCTCAAATGCTTGGGTGGACATGTGTCGCCACACCTGCTCACCAGTGACTGTCTCTTAGACAAGCAAACCAAGAAGCTGGGAGTCACTGTAGGAGCCTGTGGCTTCTCGGGTGCACCTGGTGACCCCCAGGAGGTGGAGTGTTACCAACTTCCCCATTCTACAGTCGGGGCACCAGGGCCAGAGGAAGGAAGCACTTGCCTAACGTCATCAGCCACAGTCCACTAGGCCCAAGAAGCCACTACCCTAATGGGGAGAAAGGTCTCCAGTTCTTTTGTCTTTCTGATTGAGTTCCTTGACCCCGTCAGTACCTTGATGCCATTTGTGCTGGTGCTTTGGCTTTAAAAATAACCGCAGATAGCCCGGTGTTTGTAGGAGGAGAAAGCGGGAGGGCTGGGGGTTTAGGCCAGTGTGGCCTGTAGAAAACCTTGTTTAAAACAGACAAACAACAAACAAGCAAAGAGGAGTCAGGCATCTTGGTGCATTCTGTACACCCAGCACTTCTGAGGTGGAGGCAGGAAGATCTGGAGTTCAAGGGTATCCTTGGCAGCATAGATAGCCTGGGGCCATCTGGGACTAATGTAAGACCCTGTCAAACAATCAAAAAAATGAGGGCTGGAGAGATGGCTCATTGGTTAGGAGCACTGGCTGCTCTTCCAGAGAATGTGGTTCAATTCCCAGCAACCACACAGCAGCTCACAACTGTCTGTAACTCCACGATCTGACACCCTCACATAGACACACATGCAGACAAAACACCAATGCAATTAAAAAAAAAAAGAAAGAAAGAAAGAGAAAAAAGAAAAAGAAATGAGAGAGGGAAAATGCAAGTAAGGGAGGCCATGGATGCAGCTTGGCCTGTGAGCTCCGGCCTAGCTCATTGGAGGCTCTGGGCCATCGTCAGCACACACACGAGAGCTCTGTAACATTGCTGTGTTCCAGGAACCATTAACATGCTTTGTCTGCAAATTATGCAATTATTCTGAGTTTGTATCTGTAGAAGCAGAGGCACAGGGAGGGTAGAATTCTTGTCCACGGCCCAGGAGTGGCAGAGTCAGGATTTGAATATGTACAGCCTCATTCCAGAATTTCTGCTGTCTGCCACCCTGCTGTGCTTCTCTCCGGGGAACAGATTGGTTTGTGCCTGCTCCTCTCACTGACTGCTTCTCTCTCACTGACTGCTGCAGGTCGTGGGCAGTTCCCTTCTCTTTGTGCATGACCACACCGGCCTGGCCAACGTCTGGATGATTGACTTCGGCAAGACAGTGGCCCTGCCTGACCACCAAACGCTCAGTCACAGGCTGCCTTGGGCTGAGGGCAACCGTGAGGACGGCTACCTCTGGGGTCTGGACAATCTGATCCACCTCCTTCAGGGGCTGGCACAGAGCTGACTCCATCTGCCACCGCCAAGCTCACTTGCAGGATAACACACGTCCGGCTGGAGGAGCCCTAAGATGTCGGGCCCAAGGCTGCTGCTGATGGAAGATGAGGTGCTTCCAGGCCAGTGTGGTGTAAGGAGCTTTGGGGGTCCCTGGCAGCACTGGGCTCCTTTATGAATTGGGGAACAAGACAGTGGAGGCATAGAGTTAGTAGAACATGAATGGGGCATTCTGATCAGCTAGGAGAGCTGCTGAGGGAGTACCAGAGACCACAGATGGAAGAATGACGAACCCCTCCTTGAGCAGGCTCTCTGAGCCCAGAGCCAACAGGTTGGCTTCTGCTCCCCAGAGGTCCAGGTGTCGTTTCTGAAGACCCGTAGGAACTACCTGTCCATCTGGGCCAGGACAGCCCCATCTGAAGGCCATCCAAGTGCTGAGAGGAGGGTGTTCCATGGGCTCTTGCTAATGCTACCTGAGGCCTCATGCCCCTTTGTGGAGCCATGGTGTACCCTCCTTCCCGTCATGGCTGGGAACTGTTCTCTGTTCCTCTGTGAACTCTTGGAGCTGCTGCAGACCCAGAGACTGCAGCCACATCCACCTGTGCCAGCCCTGTGACCATCTTCCTTCCGTGGTGCCTCAGCTCCAGCCTCAGGACTTCCTCCTCCTGCCGCTGACCCCATGGCTCTCTCAGCGGAGTCCAGGACAGGAAGGGGTTTCTCCTTGGGAACCAGAGCTGCCTTGCTTCACTGTCTAAGTGCCCTGACCCACATACAGAATGAAGATCCAGGTTGCCCAGAAGCACAAGTGGCGGGGCTGCTGACCCTAACTGTGGATACCTGGTTCTAACCAAAGACTCTAGAACTCTGGGGTGGGGCAGAGGCTGCTCTGTCCCTGTGCTCCAGACCTCGGCTTCCTGGCCCATACAGATGGGCTTGGCACGGACGGGACCTACCTCTTCTCTAAGCTGAAGCCCTAAGGTCTTCTGGGGCTGACACATCTTCCTTTTCTACTGACTAACTTTATATATATTTATATATGAGGTAGTTAACTGGGGTGGTGTCAGGGAATCGAGGCAAAATGGCTTTACTATCTCTCCCGCCCACAGTAGCACCCCAATAAACAGGACAAAGTTAATATTGTGGCTATTTTCTTGGCATCTGGGTATGTAAGCTCAGATTCATACTCTGGGCCTTCATGCCGGGGTGAGACAGTGGCGTAGCGAGCGCCTTGGGGGACTGCAGACTAAGGTTCACCACCCGTTCAAGACTCAGAAATGCAATTTTTTTTTGTTTTTATTAAAAATAAAAACAAACAAACAAAACCCCGCCTCTCTCTGCAAACTCCTTTTCTCAGTTTTTGACTCAGGGTCTCACTGTGTAGCCCAGGTTGGCCCGGAACTTGAGGTCCTTTTGTTTATCACTTGTCAACCAGAGTGCTGGGATAGCAGGTGTTTGCCTTTACACTCAGCTTGAGTTTTTTTGTTTGTTTTTTTTCATTTTTTTCGACAGGGTCTTGCTCTGTAGTCCAAACCTGCTTGGTACTCACCGTGTTGCCCAGGCTTGCCTCAACCTCACTGTGACCTACCTGACTCAGCCTCTTGAGCACTGAGACTGTGTGCCACCATGCCTAACCTGAATTGCTATTCTCCTGGGTCTGGCTCTGTGCTAGACCATGCAGAGATACAGGGCTCCTGGGCCATCTCTTTGAGCTCCAGTACAATGTACCAGGCCAGCCAGTGCCAGCCAAGTATCAGGGGCAGGATTCAAGACTGCTGTTCATGCCACTCACTGTTAGCACACACCCACGGCACCAGACAGCTCCTGTGGAAGGTGACCCGGGGCTGGGTGCTGGGAGCGCCGCAGCTGGGCAGATTTGTTCCTCCCCTCTGAGAGGGCATACCAGGTGCCTATTTCTTTATAGTACTGAAGAGCTGGTGCCCTAGGATGGGTAAAGGAGGCACACACAACTGCCTATATGATTTACTTAAGCGTCTTCTTATAGCTTAAGTTGGCTCTGAACTTGTCATGTAGCTAATGAGCTTGAACTGATTATCTGGCCTCAACGTTCCAAATGCTGGATTATATAGGCCTGCACCAGCATCCCAGCCTCGGTCAGGACGCAGCATAATTGAGGCTAACCTAGACTGCAAAATAAACATGACAAAACTGTCTAAAAAAGAAACCAAACAAGCATCATACTCCTGCCCTCCTCACTATGTAGAAGGGGAAGGGTCTTGGAGACTCTCTGAAGAAATGATACTGGAACCAACGTGGAGAAGTTATGGGGAGTAAGCCTCAAAAATTTTATTCATTTGGATTTCTGCATCACATCAAGCAAGTGGAGGTGAGGGATAACTCGTGGAGTCCGTTCTTGCTCTACCACATGGGTGCTGGGTCATCAGTCTCCACAGCACCTTTACCCACTAAGCCATCTTGCCAGCTCAAGGAGCATGATGATTCGGCTCAGTGATGGTGCTGGCACCTAGCCTGGGTATCTGAAGGGCCATCACAGCTGACAGATCCGTGAGCAACAGTCTGAGCCCATCAAGAAGGGAGCCGGGTTAATTTCTGCCCTGTGAGCAAACTTGGGGATGGGACAGGCAGGGGGTCCAGGCTCCTGAAGAAGTTTGGTGAATTGATAGTCTTAAAAGTTGCCCATGAAGAAAGACCAATTGATGTCACGTTCAGGTGGGAGGGATGTGACCAGGGTCTGAGACCCGATCGAGCCTTCCTCTAGGCTGGGCATGGACGAACATGCCTTTAATCCCAGCACACAGGAAGCTTTTTGAGATAGTCTCACTTTGTAGCCCTGGTTGGCCCAGAGCTCACCATGTAGATCTGGCTAGTCCCAAACTCAGAGATCTGCTTACCTCTACCTCAGTGGTCCGTAACCTTCCTAATGTTGTGACCCTTTAATACAGTTCATGTTATGGTGACCCCAGTCATAAAATTTTTGTTACTACTTTGTAACTAATTTTGCTGCAGTTATGAGTTGTAAAGTAAGTATCTGTTTTGTTTTTTCTGACGGTCTTAGGCAATCTCTATAAAACGGTAGTTCCCCATACCCCCTAAAATGGTTACAACCCACAGGTTAAGAACCTTCTGAGTGCTGGGTCTAGAAGCAAGTGCCACCACCCCCAAGGCAGAGATCATGCTTTCAAAAACAAAAATCTGGGCTGGCGAGATGGCTCAGAGGTTAAGAGCACTGGCTGTTCTTCCAAAGGTCCTAACTTCAATTCCCAGCACCCACAAGTGGCTCACAACCACCTATAGTGCAATCTGGTGCCTTCTGGTGCGCAGGCGCACATGGTGTATAAATAATAAATAAATAAGTCTAAAAAAAATTCTTCACAAAACCAAGTCTCTCTTAAACAAAGGAATGCTTGACTTTGGAAGTAATTAGACTTTGGATGGTGCTTCTTACACCATAGGTGGGTGAAAGCTTTGTAAGGCAGGAGGCCTCAAGGTACAGGTTGGACTCAAAGTGTCACACAAGGGAATGAAGCTGAGGCACTCTAATGGTGATGGAGATAAGTTCAAGGCAGGTGCCTGGATCCTAGCTAATGGCTCCACTTCTGTGGTCTGAGCAGTAGGGCCTGGCCACAGAGGCCAGCCTGCACCCCACCAGCAGGCACCACGTACACCCGTCCATCAGTGGCCTTTGCAGGTGAGAAGTCTGTCAGCTGCAGGTTGCTATCCCGGACTTGGCTGTAGTCCCACAGCTGGTAATGCCAACTCTTGCCCTGCTTAGAGAGAAGGAAGACGGCACCTGGGGAGCTTTCTTCCGGGAAGGATGGTGGGTGGTGGCATGCATCCGGCACTGGGTGGAAGAGGCCTGGCAGCTCAGAGTCTTCAACGTAGCCAGGGCTTGGCACCCTCTGCACACCCATCAGGACCCCTGGGAGACAGGAAGCAGATGTGAGTTGCCTGGGTGCCAGGGCAACCCTTTGGGCCAGGTGCTGCCTTGCTACAAGGTTAGTGGGCTTCTGTGGGTACACAGGACCTCTGGCTTCCAAACCTCAGGTACCTGAAGTCCTGCCTCTTGTAGCTCATTGAAGGTGGACACAGCATTGAAACAAAGAATACCCCCCCCCCCCCCAGAGAAGCCCTCAAGGCCAGACATGCAGAGATCCAGCAGAGCCTCCACCCTTCTTCTAGACAGGCAGGTGATGGTGCTGCTGACAGACATGCATGCGGTACCAAGTGTGTTCTCGGCACACGCTGATCAGGCAGCTGTGCAGTGTCGCCTCCATTACTGCCCACGGGCAGTGCCCCTCGGGTTTACGTGCTGGCACTCTAGCCTGCAGTCAGTGGTACTATTCTGGAGCTGGTGGGGCCTTTAGGAGGCGGGACCTTGCTGGAGGAAGTCCACCATGGGAATGGGGCTAAAGCACAAGTGAAGGGTTATCATCCAATCTACATTTCCGGGTGGAGCTTTCTGCTTCCTGGTCAACCAAAAACTAATGAGCTGAACCTCAGACTCTTTGGCAGATGTAGTGAGAATTCTGGAATTTTTGTTTCTTAAACAAAACAAAACAAAAGAAAACAAAACCCAGAAATATGGTAAGAACAGGTTTTTGTTTGTATTCCAGATATGGGGATGTGGGGCTGCCTTGGACTGACCACAACAGCTGACTGTGATTTGCCCAATGCTCCAGTCACCAAACAGTGGTTTTGCCAGCTGCAGAATTTCCGCATTTGTGATGTTAAGAATCCTGGGAAATTCTTGGAGGGTATATAAATGGTAGGCGCTGAGAGAGTGGTGTGGGTGGTTGTTGGTCATTCAGGGGGTTGGTTGTGGTTTGTTAGTTGTGCTCAAAGAAGAAACTAGAAGAAAGTATTTAAATTCAGGGCTTTCTTGCTCCCCTCTATCCTTCTTTCTGTCCTATCTAGTGATGGGGTGAAAACAGGGGGATAAGGGTGGGAAAGAGAAGAACCCACAAAATAGCAAAAGACAAACTACAGGCAGTCAGCTGTCATGCCTTTCCTGCTATGTCTCCCCAGAACCAGGAGCCTCAGGAACCTCTCAAACTGCTTCTGTGAGCTACAAAACTAAGACCCCCTCCCCACCACCAATCACCTTAACTTCCAAGTGGGCAATAGGCCCAGAGAGGGGAAGCAACTTAGGCAGAACTAAGGAGTCTGAAGAGTCAGAGGCTCGGCTGTGCCTGGGGCCCTTTGCTCCCTGTGCTCTAAGCCTGTCTGAGGGAACTCTTAATTGGCAAGTGGCTGAGGGACCTGCTGGGTTTTTTGCTAAGTACCGTATGGGAAAGAGGGAGGGCAAGTTGTTGTTCATACTGTGTGCGGCCATCACCATCCATCAGTGACAATACAATATGAGGGGTTAATAATGGGTGTAGGAGCAGCACACAGGCACAAACGTCAGGAGGACTTACCTGTGCTCACTGCCCAGTGGGCCTTATGGCCTTTCTTTTGACATGGCTCATGGTTGAAATCCTCATCATAGCTGGGAAGCTGGTGTTAAGGTTGAAACTGTGGTGTGGCCCTGGTTCCCGCCCTTTACCATCCCTGCCCTGCTCCCTCTCAGGCCCTGGGATGCGGGATAAGCAGGGGATGTCCATTGATGAGGTGCTGCAGGACCCGATCTCTGTTGGGACCACCCAAGCCACCACAGAGGAGCTCAGCCTGGCAGCCCAAAGTCTCCTGGGCCAGTTTGGCCATGTCAGCCACTGGAGATAGAAAAGAAAAAGAGGGAGGAAGTGGGAGAATATGACTCAATCAATCAATCAATCAATCAATCAATCAATCATATGAATGAGAATCATTTCAGAAGGGCTTATCATTTACCTAAGTATAGAAAATGAGGCACAGCTGGGTCTGATGGCATAGCCCTGTCATTCCTGCTATTTCAGGGGTTGAATTAGGATCGTCAGATGTTCAAAGTCTGCCTTGGCTACCCAGTGAGTTCAAAACCAGGCTAAGCAATTTGGTGAGCTCATGTCCCAAAAGAAAACAAACAAACAAACAGATAAATAAATAAATAAATTAAATACATGGCTGGAAATAGAACTCAGTGGTAGAGCCCCTGCCTAGAAACCCCCAGTGAGGGGCTGGGGTATAGCTCAGTGGTAGAGCACCTGCCTAGAATGCCTCAGTGAGGGGCTGGGGTGTGGCTCAGTGGTAGAGCACCTACCTAGAATCTCCCAGTGAGGGGCTGGGGTGTGGCTCAGTGATAGAGCCCCTGCCCAGAATCCCCCAGTGAGGGGCTGGGGTATAGCTCAGTGGTAGAGCCCCTACCTAGAATGCCCCAGTGAAGGCCTGGGGGTATGGCTCAGTGGTAGAGCACCTGCCTAGAACTCCCCCAGTGAGGGATTGGAGTGTGGCTCAGTGATAGAAGACCTGCCTAGCCAGTACTATGGCCCTGAGTTCAATTCCCAGTACTACAAACAAAACATGTGAGGCATAAGGCTGGTCAGCTGCTTAAGCACTTAGCCACAGAGATGGTGAGAGCTGGGCTTACAACTCAAGCAGCCTGGTTCCACTTCTGACAACTTTGATCTACTACTATAAGGGGGTAGACCAAGAGAAGAAAACGAGGCTCTTCATGCACCCTCAGTGTCTCAGCTAGCCTCTTCTGCTCCTCCCAGAGAGGAGCCAATGGAACTCTGGGGCTTCAAGTATTTCCCAGCCAACTCACCAGAGAACATCTCTCCCTGTGCTGTGTATCCTCTCTCCACGGCCACCTGCACCAGCCTTTCCAGAGAGACGCTGCCAGGGGTTGACAGGAGAGCTCCTGCCATCCACAAGGCCACCAGTCCACACCTAGGAGAGAAAGGCCACTCTGTGGCACATTCCACTTTTCTAAACTCCCCTGTCCCAGAGGAGGGAGAGGTGTGCTGTCTAGGGGACTTGCCTTCCCTCCCACACCAGGTGGGAGAACAGGCTGGAAGGTGGTGTCAAACCTGGGTACCTGGGGAACAGGTGCCAAAGTAGAGAGAAGATGGACCACCCTCATCTGTGTACTCACTGGTCATTCATTTGCTCATTTGAATGGTCCTTCTGTGTTACACATAAACACACACACATCCTGATGTAGAAAATGCCCTGCAGAGATCTTTCTCTCTCCCCTGATGCCTGGGGCAAAGCTCTTGTCCCACAGTGCCAGCTTGGCCTTAGAAAACTGGCATGGATCTATGGCAGCAGGGCAACGTGCTCTTACTGAGGGCCTTCTTGGATGAGTGATGGCAGGTCAGCACAAAAGAGGATCCACTGCAAGTCACTTCGAAACCTGAAGCAGAGCAAGAAGGATAAGTCACAGGAACAGCTCTGATACCACCCCCTGGAGACTAAGCTAACATAAGGCCTCAGAGATGTTCCTGGCTGGGTAGCTTATGTCCTCCTCCCTTCCCCCAGCCTCAGTTTCCTCATCTGGTGGTGGGGGATCATTCTGCCTGTTTCCTGCTGCGTCTTTCAGTGCTTCAAAGACAAGGAGCAGATACAGAACCTATGCAACGAAGGGTCATGAAGGTTTAGCTGAAAAAACTTCTAGAAGGTGGCATGTTTTATATCCACATGCTACGTTTTCTTTTCTTTTCTTGTAGACATCTCCAAATGCAGCCTAGGCTGGCCTCCAACCAATGGCAACCTTTCTGCCTCAGTTTCCCCAGTGTTGGGATTAAAGGTGTGCTACCATGACTAGGGCCTGATTAGTCACCCCATTAGATAGAGAGGGTTACAGGAATGATTCAGTAGATAAAAGCCTGCCAACCTGATTATTGTCAGGACCCACATGGTAGAAGGAGACACAGACAGACAGATACACACACACTGTAGCTGTAGCACACATGCATACACACAATATATAAACAGCTTTACTCAACCAGGTAAAACCTGGTAGCAATGGTTAAGGCCCAAGAGCTCCCCTAGATGAGTCTCGGCAGGCCCGACTAGCCCTGAGGCAGCCACACGGTTTCTGCTGGTCTCACTTCCTCGGGCCATATGCTTGTGTTTCCTATTCCAAGGCCAGTGTGTGTGGTGGTGGTGGTGGGGTCTGTGTGTGTGTGGGGTCCACAACTGATTAATAAACAAAGCTCCAGGTTTTTAGGTTAAGATGATTCCTGACCACAGCAGGGTGGTTAGAAGCACTGAGTCCCTTGGTGAGTTCAAATGCAGACCTCTCCCTTTGTACCGTGGCTGAGGGGGAGCTGCAGCTTTCTTTGTACGGTGCCCATGGAGGCCAGAAGTGCTGGTTCCTCTAGAGCTGGTGTTATGGTTGTAAGCCACCCCATGTAGGCACTGAGAACTGAACTCAGATTCTCTGCAAGAGAAGCAAGTGCTCCTAACCCCTGAGCCATCTTCCTATCCCTCTAAGACTTTATCAACAGATAAGTAACAGTTCCCATGTCGTGTAGTTGCTGAGAGCAACAAATATTTAAAAACTCAGCCAACCTCGGTGATTCATGTCTGCGCTATCAGCACTTTGGAAGCAGAGGCAGAACTGCCATGAGTTTCAGGCCAGCCTGGCCTAGAGTGTGACACTGGATTAAAAACCAAAAAGAGGCTAGTATGGTGGCATACATCTTTACTCCCAGAAGTTTGGAGGTAAAGACAGATGGATGTCTGTGAGTTCAAGGACAGCCTGGTCTCCAAAATGAGTTCCAGGCCAGTCACAGTACACAGAGACACCCTGTCTCATACCACCACCACAACCACAGAGCTGGTGTTAGGAATATACACCTATAATCTCCCGAAGGGCAGGAAGGAACAAGGTATTCCTAGATACACAGCAAGTTTGAGGTTAGCTTGGGCTACATGAGATTCTGTCTCAAAGTAACAAAACAACAACAAAACAAAACCACCCACACAACCAAAAACCTAAGGAGAAACAGCCTGAGAAAGAAGCAAAGTAAATAAATCCCCTAGAGCAGTCTCTGACAGGCACTACCTATGTAGCACGACAGGATATCTACATTCAGTTTGCTGGGGCACTTGGTGTGCCTTAGAATTGTGGTTGGAGAGTTTGAAAACCCCCCCTTTCTTCCTTCATCAGGGTCTCGCTATGCAGCTCAGGCTGGCTGGGAGTGTCTCCTGCTCAGCTCCCTGGGCTCGGGGATTACAGGCATGGGTCACTACTCCAGCACCTGGGAGTTCCTTTCTCAGTGTGGACAAGGGCCCGTGTGCCTGGGTGCATCACTTTCTTCCTGGGACCTTGGACTCAATTCAAGACCTCCACTTCTAAAAGCAGCATTCTTCTCTGAGCACAGCCTTCCCCTGGTCCCAGAGGCCTCAGGACATCCAAATTCCTTCATCCAGCTGCCAGGCTGTGTTGGCGCCTGCCTATTTCCCCAGCTCCTCTTTGTAGTTCTTGGCAAGCAATACATATGTCTTACTATATACCTGTACCAATTCTGTCTGTTCTTATGGCATTGGCCTTTATAACTTGCTCATGAGCATTTGCAGCTGCTTCTCTTGCAAAAGCTACCCCTGGGTTAGACACTTCCTTGGGGACCCATTATCAAATTCCTGGCTACTCTGGGAGTCAATGTCTGGGAGGACCAAGCCATTGGCCTCTGCCTCAGAACTGGGCATGAACAGACATTGTTCTCTGGAGACTGCAAACAGGTGTTTGGATGAGTGGTGGGTTGAGGTGCTGCTGGGGCGCTGGAGACCATACCGGTCCTTGTGCAGCTTCAGGAGCCTCTTCACATCTTCTCTGCCTTTGGGGACTGGTCCAGCCTTCTCCAAGGCCTCCTTCAGAAGCCGGCTGTTCTCTAGGCCGTAGACATGAGGAACAGCCTCCACAGAGGAGGGTGGAGGGGGTGGGGGTGGGGGTGGAACAGAAGCCTGGAGACTACAGGGAGGGGATGGCAAAGCTAAGTCCAGTGGACTCGGGGGTAGAGGTGGTGAAACACTGGAGCCTTGGGTCTCGTGAATTATTGGGGGGATTGTGGGGTTTTGGGAGAATGAGCATGGAGAAGTCATTTGGGGTCTTTGGGAAGAGCTGAATGAGAATGAGAAGAGGATCCTCCCAAATCTCAAGGATGGAGATTTTCAGTTTTTAAGACAATCGGATGTGATTCAGGCCTGTACACACATTGAGACCTGTGTTAAAAATGGAAAAAAAAAATTAAAATTGAATTGCAGTATGTTTCCTGACCAGCTGGTCTAGGAGAAACTTAAGTGATGAAGAATCCCGAAGGGTGGGCTGCGCTTTGGGGCTGGGGCTACACCAAGAGGGAAACTTTCTAGGTGTCATCTCATTGGAACTAAACTAGTTTTGGTCACTTCTGTTGATGAGGTCAGGATCTGTTGGAAGGTGTCTAGAGGATGAGCCTAGCCCATCTCACATCCCGCGCCCGAGAGTTGACCTTGAAGGTTAAAGGGCCCAAGGCTGGGAAAACAGCCTATCAGTGGGCAGGATCGTGGAATCGCAAGAGAGTTGTGCCGGCTCAGAGATCAAGGGCCAACTAAGCTGCTGTTTAGCACAACCTAAGAGAACGGAAACAAGGAACTTAACGGCTCCTCCTCGGGAGCAAATGGTCACCCTGCTAGCCCCGACCTGTCCTCTCTCATCCTACACGACACAACCAGGGACCACAACGAGCCTCCTGGCTAATCACGTGATCGAAGGCCACCGACGGAAGAGGAAAAGGCGTGGCCTCGGAGAAGCAGGCTCTAACCGTGGCCCAATTGGCCAAAAGCTCGTAGCGTCCACTAATTGGCTCGCTCGCTCCGGTCAAGGGGACGGGGCTTGTCGCTAAGGCGGGAACCCAAGTGTTCCTCTCATCGGCAGGCGCTGAGGCCGGGAGAGAGGCTTTCTCTGATCGGTCCACCTACCGAGTCTGCGCGCGGCGACTAGCTCGCGGGAGGGACGCTGTGTCTGAGCAGAGCAGCGAGCGCTGTCGGCGGGAGCGGGCACTCAGGTGGTGGGTTCCCGCGGGGGTGGATGACCCTCGGGCCTGGGGAGGCGGGTGAACCCGGCTTGGCGCCGGCTGAGGGACCAGGACGTCCCAAATCGGCCCCGACGTTTCTTAACTGGCTCCCGACATCCGGGTTCTTTTTCCCTCCCGGGAGGCCTTTCGCGCGCGTGGAGTAATGGGACTCGCCGCTCGGTAGGCTCCGCCTGCCGGGACTCGGAGAGCATTCTGGGATGCGTAGTTATCCTCTCTCTCGAGCTCCCTTAGCACGCGGGCTGGAGAAGCGGAGTCCTGCTCTGGCTTTGTTGCCAAGCTGTGCCGTCCTCCCTCGATTCCGGTCTAACCCGACTTCCTCCTGGAAGAAGTATCCCTAAGCCGAGCCCGTCAGCCCTTCGGGACAAAGAATTTTGGGAACCATAAGGCTAAAGTCGCCTCTTTCTCCCCCCCCTTTAAGCCGTACCTGAACGTCTTACAGCATGGCAGTTCCCGAGACCCGTCCCAACCACACTATTTATATCAACAATCTCAATGAGAAGATCAAGAAAGATGGTGAGTTCTCGGGGTAGCCTGGACTCTACGTGATCTCATAGGAGTTGACCCCATTTTACCTTTTTTACCTCTAGCACCCACTTTTCTTTCTCAGCCTTCCCCATTCAGTCTGTCAGAAGTTAATTTTGGCCTTTATACATACTGCTTCCTTGGTTTTCAACACACCCTTAACCATTTAACACTCTGCCCTTTAATCTGTGCATTGTGGCTGGTCTTCAAGGTTTTAGCTCTTTCTTCCAAGTATTCCAAAATCTTTCTCTCCAACAGTCGGCTATCATGAGACTGTCTCTGTCCACTATCCTCTGGGTCTCAGTGATTTTGGCTACAATGTAAATAACACAGTGACTGCCTCTGTAATATGGGTGATATATGCAGGATTCTAAGTCTTGAACATATTTAGTTCTCACAAGCCTCTCAGATTAAGAAATTGGAACTTGGCCAGCATAACTTGCCTGAGATCAGATAGCAAGAAAAATTAGGACACAAGTGTGAGGTTTTTGGTTAAGCAAATTCTTGGACTGTTCTGGTTAGCAGAAGGCTGTAATTCTCTTACTCAGGGACAGTGGAAGTTTTAAGCCAGTTTGGGCAACGTGGTCAGAACTAGTAAAGAAACGGAAGACTACACATTTCTCTCAGCATGTGGTGGTGCAGGCCTGTAATCACAGCACTCAGGAGAAGGCTGAGGCAGGAGGATCTTGAGGTCCAGACCAGCTTAGGCTATGTAGCAAGACCCTGTCTCCCAAAGGATTGAAGAATGTAACTATGTTAGTGTTTCCTCGGATGAGTAATGGCAACTAAGAAAATCAAGCTGGCCTGGGGAGATGGCTCAGTGGTTAGAGAGCACTGCCTGCTCTTCAGAGGGTCTGGGTTAGTTTCCCAGTACTCAAGGGAGGGTCATAACTGTCTGTAACTCCAGTTCCAGGGCGTATGACATCCTCTTCTGGCTTCTGCAGGCAAAATATCCACACACATAAAGTTAGAAAAGACTTAAAGGCTATACAGATTGAAACAAACACATGCGACTGCTTTATGTATTTATTTTGTGTGTGTCTGGGATCATGGATGCCTTCGTGTGGGTTTGTTCCTGAGGTCACACTCAGGTCATGAGGCTTGTGGGGTGGGTGTTCCACCCTTTCACTGGTGGATTGCTTTGTGGAAGTATTCTGCAGTTAGTGAAGGGTAAATTCTAGGTGTTAGGACCACCTGGAGGAAATTGGCAGGAGAGGACCTGAAAGACAGTTTAGCTGCTCGCTGCCAAGCCTGGCTTTCCCAGCTCCTGTGGTGGAAGGACAGCATCCTCTGACTTCCACCAGGATGCCTCCTGAGCTTGCTGGGGCTGAGTTCGGGTTACCCAGAGTTGGGGTAGTGACTGCATAAGAGGAGTTCTGGGCGTCTGGCGCTGAGACAGGAGAGTTACTCCCAGAAGTCATCCTCTCACTTCTACATGTGCTCCACTGTGTCCTTACTTGCTCTCCCTTCCTCTGTGGCTCTGGCCCCAACACACAGAATAAATACATGTGCTCTCGGCAGGAGCAAGCACCTGAGGAGGCTGGGAGGGCTTGACCGAGGCAGGGTCACAGTTCAGTTCCAGTCTGGATCCAGCACCATTGTCCTCACCAAACTGCTTCACACCATAGCAAAAAGGACTCAAAACAAAACAGAGGGTTGGTTCCTTTTGTTCCCTGGGAAGGGCAGTAAACTGTGTGACAAGGGGAGCCGAGGTGCTGCTGCTTGGGGAGCGATACCAAAAAAGGAAAGAACTGTTCTGTTGTTAGGCCTGGTGACATGGGACTCCATGGACCTCCCTGGAGGCCCACATGGGCAGATTCCCAACCTGATGCTTGTCAGGGCTACAGAACAGTTCAAGCCTAGCTTGGACAACTTAGTAAGATGTGGTCTCAAAGGTGTAGGAAGTGGGGAAGGGAGCTGGAGGGCCAGAGAAATAGCTGGCCTCTCAGTAAATTGCCTCGGCTTTAGATTCACTCTGGGAGTGCTGTTTCCCTACGGAATTGTAAGGATTTAATGAAGTTACCCTAGCACTGGCTTCTTAAGTGCTGTGAATAAGGTACATGTCACCACGCCTGACTAGGCTTAAAACTTACCTTTATTTCTTTATTTTTGAGGCTAGGTTTTACTGTGTGGTCCTGGCTGGACTGGAACTCTATAGACCAGGCTGGCCTTTTCCTTCCACTGCTAGGATTAAACCCAGCTGTTTTGTTTTTACCAGAGGCTAGCCTCAAGCTTACCATGTCGGAGAATGACTTAAAGTACATGAGCCTCCTGCCTCCAGCTCCTGGGTATTGGGATTTCGGTTCAGGGCAGCATGTCCAACTCACAGGTTTGTAGGTGTTAGTGAGAGATGGTCAGTAAGTGAACTTCTGACATCAGGTGGAGAAGCTGGGGGGGTGAGAAGAGGGGCACAGGGGCATGCTGACAGTACAGTTGGAGGTGGCAGATTTATGCTGAGACGTGTCAAGAAGAAGACAGTCATGGAAATATCAGGGAAAGGACATTCCGTGAAGAGACTATGAAGACTGAGGTGTGTCAGACTAGCAGGTCTTGCTTGTGATTCAGAGATTGAAATAGGATTGCTCAGAGTTTGGGGATATAGAGTCAGACCCAGCCTCAAAATAAACAAATAAATAAATGGCATGTCAGGATTAAGAAAGGTCTGGAAGGCCAGCTTAGCTGGAGACCTGATTAGTGAAAAGAAGTGTTTGTGTTTGTTTTTTGAACAGCAAGTATGTAGCAGGTACTGTCGCTGTCCATATTTTGTAGGGACATATAGACAAGTCCATTTGAGTGGTTTTTGGCTTTTTCTGTTATTGTGGGTTTTCTGGGTTTTGTGGGCATTTGGGGTTTTCTGTTGGTTGGCTGATGGCCCCTCGTTTGGGCTGTTCAACTTCCAAGGATAGTGCAAGTGCTGGAGCAAGTGGCCAGGCCATTTGTCACAGTGAGTCTTGTCTTCCCTGAACTCAGAGCTCAAGAAGTCCCTGTACGCCATCTTCTCCCAGTTTGGCCAGATCCTGGATATCCTGGTGTCTCGCAGTCTGAAGATGAGGGGCCAGGCCTTTGTCATCTTCAAGGAAGTCAGCAGCGCCACGAATGCCCTGCGCTCCATGCAGGGCTTCCCCTTCTACGACAAGCCCATGGTGAGTGTCTTGAACATGGAGGTTGTGTGTGTATGTACAGGTTTATGTGTTTGCGTGCTATGTAGGGGATGGGTGGGTGTGGGTCTCCTGTGGCCTGTAGTGTTCCCTAAGGATGCTATTTTTTTCTTGCTGTTCCTTTTCTGTGCTCCTTATATTGGAGCTCTGGATCAAGAAGCTGAGCATGGTGGCTTATGCCTACATGTATAGGATGCTGAGACAGGCGGATTGCCAAGAGTTCCAACCCAACCTGGACTACAGAATGGGACCCTGCCTAAAACTGTGAAAATAGGCCCAAACCAAAGTGAACAAAGGATTATCTCCCTAGGCACTGCCTTGCCTCTCTTCCATACCTACAGACCGTTCTCTCACTGCTGCCGGGCGTCTCCCAGCTCTGTGTGCCTCCTCCCAGCCCCACCTTCCCTTAGCTCCACATGTGCTCCTCCGTCCACCCAGGCTTGTCTCTACACCACGGGTCCTGAGAGCTCTCGTGACTCATTATAGCACTCCACTTCCTAGAACAGCGAGGAGGGTCCCCGTTTGTGTTCGTGACCTCACCTTCTCCCTCTCTCTGCCCCTCCTTAGTGTGCGTAGCCAGACAGAAATGGAACCTAGTGTCCCTCTGCTTTGTCTCTTGCAGCTGGGGTCTGTTTTTTCATCCCTTGGCTTCCTGGCCATTTCTTGCTAGGTGCTCCCTGTGTCCACCAGATTTACTTCCCCTCCCTTTGTGATTCAGCTTTTCCTGACCATTCTATCTGAAAAGTTCACTTTGCAACACTCAGGTCCCCTTCTGAACATGGGACTTTAGAAAACAAAATTATCTATTGCCGGCAGGTAGGTCTCTGAATTCTAGGCCAGTCTGTTGTACATAGCGAGTCCTCCATTAGCCAAAACTCTATTGTGATACCCTGCCTCAGAATTTTTTTAGATTATGTGTCTGAGCAGATGTTCTGGTTCTTCATGGGAGAGCTTGTAAGCTCCTCCCCTAGCTTACAGTTAGCTGCTTCCTGTAGTCCAGCTACTGCTGCTTTTGGGCACTTAGACTTCAGTGGAGAATATCTCCATTTTACAGATAAGGGAGTTGTGGCCAAGCAGCCTCTGTAATTTTTCTTAGCAAGCTCCTCTCGAGGTTCATTTTGAACTCTAGCGATTTCCCTCTGGTTTCCATACCTTTGACCATTCTGCTCTGATTGGCAGCGCATCCAGTATGCCAAGACAGACTCAGACATCATCGCCAAGATGAAGGGCACCTTTGTGGAGCGGGACCGCAAACGAGAGAAGAGGAAGCCCAAGAGTCAGGAGACACCAGCTGCCAAAAAGGCTGTTCAGGGTGGGGCAGCCGCCCCCGTGGTGGGCGCCGTCCAGCCTGTGCCGGTAAGCCGGACCTCTTCAGCCACATGGCTTCTTGTGGGTGGTTTTTTTTTTTTTTTTTTCATCTTTCCAGGTGTGGGTTTCTCTCTTTCTGTCTCTCCTCTCAGGTAGCTCTGTTCCTCTGTATTGTCACTGTGACCTGTAGCCCATCAGTCCTGCTTTTCTCCACAGGGCATGCCACCGATGACTCAGGCGCCCCGGATCATGCACCACATGCCAGGCCAGCCTCCCTACATGCCACCACCTGGCATGATCCCACCACCGGGCCTTGCCCCTGGCCAGATGCCCCCTGGGGCCATGCCCCCACAGCAGCTCATGCCTGGGCAGATGCCCCCTGCCCAGCCTGTAAGTGACCCTACCCCACCCCAAGGTCTCATAAGCACAATCTGCCAATAGAAGTGGAGCTGGCACGTGGGGCCCTTAGGTCAGGGGAGGTGGTGCTGGAGTTTGTGTGTGCCGAGCCACCCTGGGACAGAGAGCAGTTGGCTTGCATGCTGGTCTGTGTGAGCAGGGTGAGGCCAAGCGGAGGTTTGCATCCACGTGGAGTGCATGCACTAGGTCACCGGCCAGGACGTGGTCCTGTGTGACGCTGGCTGAGGGGGATGGGTGACGGTCTACATGAGGGGACCTGTGAGAAAGAACTGGGTGGTGAGCAGAGTGCAGTACCAGGCATCCCGTAGGGTTCCCCGGCTCATGGGCACCCATCTCCCCCTACAGCTCTCTGAGAATCCTCCCAATCACATCCTGTTCCTCACCAACCTGCCTGAGGAGACCAACGAGCTCATGCTGTCCATGCTTTTCAACCAGTAAGTGGGGCTTCTGGCTGGCTGGCTGGGTTCCAGCGTTTCGGGGGGCCAGAGGCTGAAGGTGTGACAGGGCTGTGGGCACCGTTGTGGGTAGTTTGAGTCCTAGGCTGCCTTTTCTGAGTCTCACTGAGAGGTGCAGAACAAAGGAAAAGGAAAAGAGTAGCAAAGCGTTGAGCCATCAAAGGGCACTGGGAACTCCGCACTCTGGTGCCCTGCTGGAACCTGGGGCCCTGAGGGCCTGCAGAGTGGAGTAGGGCCTGGTTTTCTAGTCGGCGTGTTTCTGAGCACACCTCTTACAGAAGTGTCTGTCCAGCCTGGAGATGTGTGTCACCTCGACACGTGCAAAGCTGAAGCAAGACAACTGAGTTCAGGGTCATTCTCTGCTGGGTAGCCTTTGCTACGTGAGACCCTGGGTGGGGTAGACGGTGCTCAGTGCCTGTCTAATGAAGCTTGCAGGCTTGTCTGGTTTAATCGTGCATGTGTCTGTGTATGGGTATGTGCCAGAAGTGTCAGGTATCCCTGAGTTGGAGTTTGAGGCAGTTTTGAGCGGCCTGACACTGGCACTGGGAACCGGACTTGGGCCCTATTAGTCAGTTCTTGATCTGAAGCGCTGAGCCCTCTGCAGCCCCTTTCCTCTGCTTCTTCATCTTAGAAATAGACAGTGTATTGGGAGAGCACAGACATGCTTTGATGTATAGCTCAGGCTGGCCAGGATCTGTTTATCTTCCTGCCTCTGCCTACCAGGTGTGACCTTCCATACCTGGCTGGAGTGGTTCTTTTGTAATAATGCTGAAGGGAATTTTGAGAAACCAAATAAAGCTGGGCCCAGTACAGCTGGTATGCCTCCTCTGTGAACAGTACATATTTTTGAGACTGCTCATGGGAAAGGATGTCCATTGAACAGGAGTAGGTGAGGAGGGAAGCTAGACAGGCCCGATGGCCTCTGTCACCCAGTGCTCAGCCTGAGCTCCTTAGAGTGACCCTGTCTCCATAAAGCAGAAACGAGGCTGAGAGTAGCGACTGGTTTCTGGGACTGAGGGTGGACTTTAGGGGAAGGAAGGGGTGCTAGTGCCAGGCTTCCTGTGGTTGCTGACGCGTTGAGACTCTCCAGGCGATGGGGTTCTGCGCTCATCTTGTCCGGGGAACCCTTTGGTCTGGGGTCTGGGCTGTGCATTATGGGATTATTACCTTCTCTGGTCCCTGTCACTTTCGGGCCAGAATACTAGCAGGACGCCGAGGCACCTCTCTGAGGTCTGCTGTTTCCTCCTCCCAGGTTCCCTGGCTTCAAGGAGGTGCGTCTGGTCCCCGGGCGCCACGACATAGCCTTTGTGGAGTTTGACAATGAAGTGCAGGCCGGGGCCGCGCGAGATGCCCTGCAAGGCTTTAAGATCACGCAGAACAATGCCATGAAGATCTCTTTTGCCAAGAAGTAGTGCCTTCCCCACAGGGTGCCCCAGACCCCTTTCTGGGGCCGCCCCTTTCCCCCCTTGGCTCAGCCCTTGAAGGTAAGTCCCCCTTGGGGGCCTTCTCAGAGCCGCGTGTGAGTGTGTTGCCACACAGCATTGTACCCAGAGTCTGTCCGCAGACATTGCACCTGGCGCTGTTAGCTTGTCATTAAAGTGGTTTTTTGAGGTTTGGTTTTTCACCACTCTTGTCTGTTTCATTTTCTTGCCTTCCTTGGTTCCCTCCACACCAAGACTCTGGGTCTTGTGGTCTCTGGGCTCCCAGTCTTGGGAAAGACACAGGAGTGTAACATTAACCACGCTAAGGTCCCTGACAGCCTTGTTAGTCTTTGTCTCGTCACCGTGGGCAGGTGCTGAGACGCCTGTGCACATCTGGGCAGGTTGTGTGCTCTACGGTCAGGAGGGCACCACTCCTTCGAGCAGGCCGAAGCCCGCTTCAGCCTCTGCGCATGCTTTTGCGCTCGCATTAAAGAGGAATGAATGGCTCAGCGACAGTCTCGTCCCTGTGCTTGAATGAGGAGGACACAGCCATTGTTTCCATCGTTAAGGGACTCAAGTTATTACAGACAGGTGAGAGGAAAGCTCTCTCTCCACATTGGCCTAATGTCTGTCTCATGGCTACTCTCGTCAGCCAGTCTGGTTTGCAGTTTGGGACATTCTAGCTGCCACCCAGTGGGCAGATAACGGCCCCACTGTGAGCTTTGTTCTCTTGCTGTGTGAAAAGGGATCTGTTAGTACTGTGATAATAGTGTTTGTTCCCATCGTCCTCACAGGTACCACCAGGCACGTAGCTGGCGCTCAGCAGATTCATGATATACTTGGTGAATACTTAGTAAGTGCTGAGCGAAACCAGAGTGAAAATCAAAGTTGCTAGCTACACCTTTGGTCCTAGTACCCAGAAGGCTGAGATAGGAGGATGCCATGAGTTTGGTGGCAGCCTGAGCTGCTGTGGTAGGGTCGGTGGGGCTGGGAATAGTCAGGGTGATTGAGGCAAAGCTCCTCTGAGGTGTCATAGGGTGGAGCTTCTGCAGGGTGATGGATACACAGAGTCATTCAAGTTCATCTTCATCCCTGACCTATAAGGTCAGGGTGCCCTGAGTCACCTGCTCTGGCCTTGACAAGAGACAGAGCCAGGCAGGAAATGGAAATCAAAGCATAGCAGTGTAGAGTGGTTCGTGAGACCCAGGGTGGGGACAGCCCTTGGACCAAGCACCCCAATCCACTGCAGTGCACCCCAAATCAGTGCATTTCTGGGGCAGTGCAGTGATCTGAGGAGCGGGCTTCAGGGCTTGAGCAGGTGTGGGGGGGAATGGGGCAGGGGGGAAGGTGGGGTGTTTGGCACGCCGGGGAGCATTGTACTCCGTGTGGTGACAGGAATAGAGTAGAGAGTGGAAGCTGTGGTGTGTGAAGCTGTGGTGAGTCCTCTCCCTGGTGTTGTACTTTTTTAAATCTTCGAGAAGCGTTTCTCTGTAGACCAGGCTGGCCTCAAACCCAGATAATCCACCTGCCTTCCAGTGTTGGGGTTAAAGGCGTGTGCCACTACACTGAGCTTTTTAAATCCCCTTGTGTGTTTGAAGTGGTGCCCTGCTTTAGGACCCCCCACCCCGCGCAGAACCTATCCGGCTGAATCCAAGTTCAGAATCCTAAAGTACTTTGATCCACCTTTCTTTTTATTTCTTATTTATTTATTTTTTTGAGACGGGGCTGGGGTGGGAGCTTAGGCCGCCTGCCTAGGCCCAACTCTTACTGTAGCCTGAACTAACCCACTCCTTCTGTCTGCATGTGTGCCTACACCAGAAGAAGGCACCAGATCTCATTGTAGATGTTAGGAGCCACCATTTGGGTGCTGGGAATTGAACTCAGGACCTTTGGAAGAACAAACTCAAAGACTTTTCAGCCTCTCCCATCACATCCAGCCTCTTCTATCTCAACTCAGCTAAGTATTCCTCACGTCTAATGGATGTAACTTTGGTACTTTGAAGTGTGACAGTAGAACTAGCAACTTTTTTTCCCCACAATTTTATAGAATCTGTTATTTTCCTTCTTGTGTTTTCCCGACCCTACCTCCTCTACTTGGGGTTGGGGGAATGGAAAGATGACTCAGCAGTTAAGATCACCTGCTGCTCTTTCAGAGGTCCCACGTTTGGTCCCAGCTTCCACCGTGGCTCATAACCACCTGTAACTCCAGCCCCGGGACCTGATAACCTTTTCTGGCTTCCATAGGCCACCGCACTCACATGCACAGACACCTACCTCCTATATGCACATAAATAAACTCGTTTGTTTTGAGACAGGGTTTCTCTGTGTAGCCTTGGCTGTCCTGGACTTGCTGTGTAGACCAGACTGGCCTAGAACTCACATAGATCTGCCTGAGTGCTGAGATCACAGGCGTGCGCCACTGCGCCTGGCTCCACAAATAAACATTTTTTTCCCCTGCTGTGGTCTGTACATTCAAGATTGACCTCAAATTCACTATCCTGCCCCACACTCCCAGATGCTGGAACTCCACATATTTGCCAGCACACTTGGTTCTTCAGCATACGTGAACTAGCAACGCCGTGCTTTGGTCCTCTGTGAAGTACAGTGAGGATGTCACAAGCAGTGAGACAGCCTTGGCCTGCTTATATACAGTGGGTACGCTGGTCAAGAATTTGGTTCACACCCCTGGCATGCTGAGATGGAACTAAGTGAGATTTTAGTGCAGTGTTCAAAATAGCATGTAGTTTATAATTAGAAAAATTACTTTCTCCTAAATTTTCCAGTTACATTTCCAGACCAGAGGGTTTCCGAACCCATAGTAAGCCAAGCCGTGGATAAGGAAGGTAAAGGGTTTCTGAGTAGTAAAAATAATGAGGTGATGTATTCACTGTGAAGATCAAGGCTGCACTGGAGTCTTGAGCAGACTGGTTAGCATCCTCAGCACCCTGTGTCAGGCCATAACCATTCCTCTGCTCGGGGGCCTCAGGCACAAGGCCTGCACACACCCAGAACAACAAGCCAGGGAGAGGCCCCGTGTTCTCCCCCATCCCATAGTCAACATAGTGCAGACACGTTGTTGGACCCTCCGGCAGGTGCCAGGGCTTGGAAGCAGGCTCTTCCCAGGTCCTACCATCCGTTGAAGCTCCACCGTTAGTGGTCTGTGCACTGTAGCCTCAGACTGCAAGCCGTAACCGCTCCCAAGACTTCTGACCCACCAAAATCCGAATGGTAAAATTTTTATGCTGCTATGGTAGCAAACTTAAGTCCTCACAAACATCAGGAAGGTGTCTTGGAACTGAAATCACTGGGAGCACCGAGTGGTTCAAGTTAACTGCATTTGGAGTAAGTAACGCATCAGTGTTAAAGTGGGTTGGGCTTTGGGCAACGGAGTCCTTTCTACAGTCTGACAGTATGGTGAATGTGCTTTATATGTATGAGCATTTTGCTTTCATATATGTATAGGTACCACATGCAAGCCTGGTGCTCAGTAGAGGCCAGAAGTATGTCAGATCCCCCTAGAACTGGAGTTTTAGATAGTTGGGGCCACCATGGCAGTGTTAGAAATTTAATCTGGGTCATCTGCAAGAACAGCAACTATTCTTAACCTCTGAGCCACCTCCAGTCCTGTGTGACCGAGAGTGACTTTGAGCTTCTGCCCTTTTACCTCTGCATTGCTAGCGCTGGGATTAAAATTAGTGCACCATGGCCAGGTGTGGTAGTGCACTAAGGAAGCAGAGGAAGGTGGATCTCTGAGTTCAAGGCCAGCCAGATCAAAGTGAGTCTAGGGCAGCCAGAGCTATTGCACAGAGAAACCCTGTCTTGAAAACAAAAAACAAGTGGCACACCTCCACACGCAGGTTACTGGGTGTTGTGGGTAGACCGCAGGGCCCAGTGGATGCCAGGCCACGGAGTCTATCGACTGAGCTACCTCTGAGGGCTCCCACTTCTTTACTGGTTAATTGTCTCCCGGAGGCCTTCAGATTTTCCTTCCTTGATGAATCTTCACAGTGCTGAGATTTGAAACTAGTATAGTGTTTACAGTGAAATACCTACTGCACAAAGAAACGATGACAGTTTTTTAATTATAATTATTTTAGATTTATTTGTGTGTACAGTGTTCTGCCTGCGTGTGTGCCTGCAGGACATAAGGCACCAGATCTCATTATAGACGGTTGTGAGCCACCATGTGGTTGCCGGGAATTGAACTCAGGATCGTTTGAAGAGCAGCCAGTGCTCTTAACCTCCAAGCCATCTCTCCAGCCCTTATTTATTATTTTTAAAAGATTTATTTATTATTTATACAGTGTTCTGCCTTTATGTATGTCTGCAGGCAAGAAGAGGGCACCAGATTTCATTATAGATGGTTGTGAAGTTGCTGGGAGTTGAACCCAGGTCCTTTCAAAGACCAGCCAGTACTCTTAACCTCTGAGCCATCTCTCTAGTTCCCATTTTGACATGTTTTAAATTGGGAAGTTCAAACATGAAGATAACATGATAGCTCATGTTCTCTGCTACCAGCTTCAATTACCAAATTGTGACCAAAACTTTTCAAGTAAATCTTCATGTCCTAAGTAAGCTCTTATTCCACACTGGTCTTACTGGTTTTATTTTTGTGTTTCTGGGCTGTTAGGGGTTGTTCTGAAGCTGGTATTTTGATGTTCAGTACTTGTCCTCATGATGTGGTCGCTGCCTGGATAAACCTATCCTTGTTGTGTAAACCCGTCTAAGACATTGTACCTGATTGGTTGGTAAAGGCCTATTACCTTTAACAACACAGAAGGGGAAACATGTGGCTAAGGTTCCTGGGATTTTGAGGATAGAATCACAGAAAAAGAGACATACAGGAAGAGAGGAGGAAGGAGGTGGGTTAGTGTGGAGAAGGAACCAAGTGGACCTGGAGGAAGGACTCCAATAACATCATGCAAAGGCCCAGCTGAAGAATAAAAGCAAGTATTTATAAGATTGTGGATGGAAGATAACCCTGATGAAGATGGTTAAGGAGAATGGCACTGGATGGGGGCTGGTGGGTGAGTGGGGAGGTTATTGAGGCTGTGTAGGTGAAATACCTACCCAGCCAAGGCAAATAAGGCAGTTACAAAATTTAACAGGTGTCTGTCTCATTTGTGATAAAGGGTCAGTTAATACCACTGCAATAATTATAGGGTAAATAATAAGCATTATATAGCCCAACATCATTTTTCTTTACTACAACACTGGGCTTTGTGCATATGAGAGAAGCTCCATCCCTGGTCCCTTATCATATATTTTAGTTCTAAATTATCATACTTTTTTTTTTTTTAATTTTGGGAATTGATCCCAAGACTAGCAGGGACTCAATCTCAGTTATTATTATTTTGCTGTGAAGAGACACCACGACTAAAGCAACTTGAAAGCATTTGCTTGGCGGTCTTGCTTAGAGTTTAAGAGAATTAGTTCATGGCTGTTATGGTGGACAGCACGGCAGTAGGCAGGCATGGTGCTGAGAGCTTAAATCTGATCTGCAAGATGGAGGATGAGAATGTTTGTGGGGCGGGGTAGGCAGAGTGGTGGGTGGCTGGCTCAGGCTTTTGAAACCTCAAGCCTAGCTGCAGTGACCTGCCTCCTCCTACAAGGCCACACCTCCCAATCCTTCCTAAGCAGTTCCACTAACTGGGAACCAAACACTCAAATACATTAGCCTACAGGGACCATTCTCATTCAAACTGTCACAACCATTAAGCAAGAGTTTTAAACCTGAGTTTGCTGATTGCATTCTTGTGAGGTCACTAAAGATGCTCCTTGGACCCCTGTTCTCTGAAGATCTGTTTTTGGGACGTTCCTTCTGAGAGCCATGTCAGATCAAGAAATGGTGATGCTCCGAAAACTGAGACAAATCTTGTCATTCTTCCTGGTTTAGTAACCTTCAACACATGCTCCTTAGCTTTATGTTTCAGTTTCTTTGTCAGCTGGGCTTGCCAGCCCCTCCTGAGGGTGATGCAGACCATCCCTGAGATAAGGAAGAAAAAAACAAAAAGATAGTAACCCCATGTGGTGGTCCATGCCTTAACCAGCACTGGGAAGAGCAGAGGCAGCTGGATCTGTATAGGGAGATCCAGGCCAGCCAGGACTACATAGTAAAACCCTGTCTCAAAAAAAAAAAAAAAAAAAAAAAAAAAAAAAAGTGGGCTGGGATGTTGCTCAGCAGTTAAGAGAGCAGAACACTGCCTGCTCTTCCAGATAGCCCAGTTTTGATTCCTAGCACCCAAATCATGGCTCACAACTGTCTGTAGCCTCAGTTCCAAAAGACTCAATGACCTTTTCTGGCCTTCAAGGATACTAGGTACACATGCAAGTGCATAGACACACATGCAGCAAAACAGTCGCACATTAAAACAAAACAAAAATCCCACCAGTGGCAGCGCTTCTTGATAGATGTCATGTTTGCTCTCATCGCTTTCTTTACAGATGAGGGAGCCAAAGCTCTGAGGCTAGAACAGCTTAGCTCATGCCTTCCAGGGAGGAAGTCGCCTGTGAGGACGCAGTGGGCCTGGTGGGACAGTGCCTAGCCCCAGGCCGGACTTTCAGTGTTTGTTCAGTACCTGGGAACTGCCTGTGGCTGGTAATCAAAGAACTGCCTTGTTCCCAGCCCTCAGCACAGGAAATTCCAAGGCGGTTTCTATACCGACTTCTCTGGCTTGGTCTCTGGAGGGTCCAGGTACTGAGATGACTTGAAGATGAAATCAGATAGTCCAGCCTGCGTATCTGAGTCTCTCAGGGGTGGCTGCTCCTTGGAGTGACCTGGATTGCTTTGGGCTCCAGTAGGCATTTTCTTTGGCCCATAGCCCTTACCCTGTCTCTGAAATGGTTCTGGCTGGGTAACAAACTTGGGGAATGGGTGGGGGTGAAATCTGGTTTGGGGGCGGAGACCAGACTGAGAACACAGGTTTCCTTGAGTCTCAGCACAGAGAGAGGGCAGGAGATTGGAGACCTCGAACCTCACTTGGGCATTCTCAGTCCATGATGGTGTGGTCCCCACTGTTCCTTGGCATCGTGGTCTTGTCTGTCTTCTCGGGGCCTGGCAGGACTGATCGGGCCATGCCCAAGCTGGCTGACCGGAAGCTGTGTGCTGATGAGGAGTGCAGCTGTAAGAGTCCGGGAGCAAGGGGGAGGGGGCGCTGAGGGCTGGAACCACTGCTCATGTTGAAGTTGCTGTCATTGCCTTCTGCTTTCCCAGATCCTATCTCCATGGCTGTGGCCCTCCAGGATTACGTGGCCCCTGATTGCCGCTTCTTGACCATATACAGGGGCCAAGTGGTGTATGTCTTCTCCAAGCTGAAGGGCCGTGGGCGGCTCTTCTGGGGAGGCAGTGTGAGTCTTCAGGGTGCTAGAGGGAAGGCTGTGGGGGTTGGCATTGAGAGAAAGCCTTTTTTTCCCTCTGAAGGGAAAAATTGGGGGAGAGGGGAAAACAGGATCTGCCGGAGGAAGACATTTTATCACCTACTGCAGTTTTACTTTAGCAGTTACAGACCGGCGTGGTGCCGAGCTCTCTTCCAGACCTCACATACAACAGTGAGCAGTAATTCTAAGGGGGAGCAGGCAAACCATCACAAGTCCCAGCAAACATGGCATGTCAGCATTAGTTACGCTGGCTACTTTCCGCCCAAGGCCAAATGGGATTTAAGCTGAGATTCAAATCGGAAAGAAGACTGTGCCCCAGGGTTCAGCAGGCCTGAGTGCCATTTTTCCAGATGGACTTCTAACTTCTTCTCCAGGTTCAGGGAGATTATTATGGAGACCAGGCTGCCCGCCTGGGCTATTTCCCCAGTAGCATTGTGCGGGAGGACCTCACTCTGAAACCTGGCAAAACTGATATGAAGACAGATGTGAGTGCCTTGGGGTGGAGGTTGGTGTGGGAGGGTGAGGGCATTTTCTTACCTGTACGTGAGAAGTAATTGTTTTTGTTGTTATTAGTAATTTTTCTTTTTCTTGAGACAGAGTATATACCCAGGCTGGCCTCAAAAATGACTAGCCTCCAGCTTTGGTCTCCTGAGGGCTGCTGAGTTTGCAGGCATGTGCCACCAGGCCCTGCCCAGTGCCAAGCGATTTGTTACCGAGACGGCAGAGCTTATAGGGCTCGAAGCTCATCTGTTTACTTTTGGGTGGTCAGACCCGGTCTTGGCGCCGGCAGCCTCTGCTAGGACCACTGCATTGCAATATGATCGCCGGCTTCCTATTCACTTTCTCCCTTTCTCTCTTTCAGAAATGGGATTTCTACTGCCAGTGAGCTCAGCCTACAGCTCCCTGCGGTTTACCTTTCCGGCTCTATGCAAAATGCAAATACAGCAACCAACTGCAAACTGTTTTGTCTCTTTGGTTTTTGGGGATGGGTGGAGATTTACAGAGAAAATATTTCTTAGGTTCCTGAATCTAGCCAGTAAATGTCTTGAATGTGGTTACATCAGCCGTTGCTAGGCAGCTTCACTTTGCAAGCCCTTTGCTCCAAGGTAAGGTCTAGCTAGGGGCGCCCCGACTCCAGCAAGGGAATAAACATTGCAATTTACGCGTGCTATCATCCCTTGAGAAGCTGAACTATTGTTAATGAGCCAGTTGTATCCTGCGGAGGGATCCAACAGTCGGTTTTCTTTTTTGAAAAGAGACGGTCTCTGTGTGGCTCTGGCTGTCCTGGCTCTCACTCTGTAGACCAGGCTGGAGTCGAACTCATAGAGATGCACCTGCCTCTGCTTCCGAGGGCTGGGGTTGAAGGCCACGCGCCACCATGCCAGACTAGCAGAGGTTTTCTTGCAGATGGGTGGCAACGTGCACGTGTCCGCTCAGCTCTCTTCCTTCCGGCCTGTGGGGTCGAGCAACCCGAGATCCGCTATCCCAACTCCGTCCATCCTGCCCTTGCCCCTTCTTGGCACTCGTGTCCCCGCCCCCGGGCTTACGTCTAACCAATCCGCAGTCTCCTCTCTGCTCCCGCACTCCTGACCAAATCCGTTCCTCCACCGGCGCAGCCTCTCTGCCTCCGCCCCCTCCCGGTTGTTGTGCCAATCGTTCTCCTCGGTCACGCCCCTCTCGACTCGGCCCCTCTCGTGCCGCCAATCGGCGCCGTCCGCCCCGCCCACTGCCTGCCGGATCCGCCAATTCCTGCGTTGGGCAAGCGTGGCCTGGTATCCGCAGCTCCGGAGGCTCGCGCGGGAGTGGGGGGGCGAAGGCGGAAGTGGCGGCGCCGGGTCCGGGAGTGGAAGGGAGCTGAGGCTGCAGCCCGAGTGGAGCGGCTGCCAGCCGAGGAGCAGGCGCGGCCGCGGCGCCATATTGCGGCCCCAGCGGTCGCTACCGAGCCATGGCCGAGACCTACGGTGAGGCTGGTGGGCCGAAGCGGGGGGCTGGGCCCGTGGTGGATGCGGATGTCGAAGCGGGGCGGGGCTTTCTGCCCAGGGGGCGGGGCTGCCGCGATAAAGGGCAGGGCTAAGTGAACCTGGGGCTGAGCTTAAGCGATTTGGGTGGAGCTTGTGAAACCGCTGTGTAGATTAACAAAATCGAGGGCGGGGTTTGAGGGAGCCGGTCTCGCTGAATTGGGGTAGGGGGTAGGCCTTGAGGAGGGAAGCAAGCCTTCCTGGGCGGAGCGTGAGTGGCTAGGGCGTGGCTGACGGGTTTTATGGACTGGAGAGAACCTCGCACAGATGCTGTGGACCCTGCACACCCTGTGGGGCTGATCTGGTTTGAGAAGTCTGGAGTGTTGTGGTCTTTGGGTTTTAGATTTGAAACTTAGTGTTAAGGGATGCGGCTTATTTTTAAGGCTAGAGGCCAAGGGTTCTGGGCAGAGGATGGGGAGAAGAGGTTCAGAGTTGGGCAATCAGTAAGGATGTACAGTGTCAGGTGGGTAGAAGGAGATTGAAGGCAGCTGAAAGCCCTGACAAGAATCAGAGGCAGCTCCATTCATTCAACACATATAAAAGCCAAAGAATCTGGGGCCAAGCCCTTGAGGAAGCAACCAGTTTAGGAAATAGGCCCAAATGTCAGAGGCCATGATAGTGAACGAGTGAGAGAGAGGGTGGTAGGAGGTGAAATGGAGGCCAGATTTAATCCTTGTTGCAATGGCTTTGAAATGCATCAGCTAAGATCTTGCAATATGGAGACCCTCAGTCTGGATTTGAATCTTAGCTCTTCTTAGCTGTGTGGCCTTGTGCAAGTCAGTCAACCTCTCTGGTCTGATTCTCCTGTCTGGAAAGTAGGGGTACTTAGTATACTTCCCTCCTTAGGCTTTATTTGGGATTAAATGAGCTGTCGAAATGCACAGCGATCTTTAGGACAGTGGCGCGCACGTACACAGTAAACGCTGTCTAAGAATAGTCATATTGTGTGCCATATTCCTCACACTTGAGTGGGGCAGGAGGACTGCTTCAAGTTAGAGGCCAGCCTGGACTACAGAGTAATACTCTTTTGTGTGTGTGTGTGTGTGTGTGTGTGTGTGTGTGTGTGTGTGGTGTGGAGGGGGTCTTGAGACAGGGTTTCTATGTGTAGCCTTCCTGCCCTGAATTTGCTTTGTAGACCAGGCTGGCCTGGAACTCATAGAGCTCTACCTGCCTCTGCCTTCCGGAGTGTTGGGATTGCCAAGTGTGTGCCACCAGGCCTGCCCAGTCCCTGACTGGGAAAAGAAAATAGAAAGAATACAGGGTGTGGTGGCACCTATATTTCTGGTACTCCTTTAGAGGCTAAGGCAAGAGATTTGCTTAAGAATTTGAGGACAGCCAGGTCAGCCTAAAATACATAGTGAAACTTTTTTCAAACATCAACAGTAGCCTGGCACAGTGGTAGCCCACACCTTTAATCCCAGCACTCGGGAGGCAGCGGCAGGCAAATCTCCAAGAGAGGCCAGCCTGCTCTACAAGGCTACACAGAGAAACCCTGTCTGGAAACAAACAAACAAACAAAGATCTTGGGCTGAGTGGTAGGTCAATATGGAAAAACACTTACCTAGCATGCTTAATGCCTGGAGTTCTATCCACAGCACTGTAGATGTTTAAAACAAAACAAACAAAAAATAGTATTTTATGGTTTCTCATGTATAGCTTTGGTTCCACTTTTGTGTGCGTCCTTCCTTCCTGACTTCCTATTTCTCCTCTTACTCTCTTTGTCTTTCTCTCCCTGTGGGTATCCTGGATCTTGGCGCCATCTGCTCAGACTTCCTCTTCAAATTCCTGGTGATTGGCAGTGCTGGAACTGGCAAGTCATGTCTCCTCCATCAGTTCATTGAGAATAAGTGTGAGTTTCTGGCAGGACCCTGGAACTGTGGATGTGGCCGTGGTGTGGGTCAGTGGGCAGTAGGTGTGGTGGGGAGCAGGTACCGCTGGCATAAAGCTAGTGCTGTGGGTTTGCCTCTAGCCTTGGTGGATGGTCTGTGCTAAGCCTTCTGCCAATCCAGCAGTGAGAACTGGGTTGCAGAAGCGGAGGAGGAGGAGGCGGCTTGCAGGATGGGGGAATTCCGGGAGCCCCCTGCACTGCCTCCTGTTTCCCTCCTCCCAGTCAAACAGGACTCCAACCACACCATCGGCGTGGAGTTTGGATCCAGGGTGGTCAACGTTGGGGGGAAGACTGTGAAGCTCCAGATTTGGGACACTGCTGGCCAGGAGCGGTTTCGGTAGGTGTCCAGGGTTCCCAAGGAGGGAAGAGGGAGGGCAGGAGAGAAAGATGTGTAGAGCCCTTCAGGGCTGGAGTAAGAGCAAGGAGATGCTGAGCAGGACAGGTAGATGGAGAGAGACAGGACTGCTGTTCACAGGGTGTATCTGAGGAGAGAGGAAGTCCTGGAGAGAAAAGGCTGAATGTGGTAGGTTGAGTCTATAATCCCAAATACACGGGAGGTTGAAGAGCAGTATTGTGAGTTATAGGCCAATGAAAATGAAAGGATTGGGGTTGTAGCTTAGAGGGAGAGCACTAGTTTAACTAGTGTAAGTTCCTGGATTTGCGTTCAGAAGACACAGAGAGAGAAAGAAAAAAAGAGAGAAGAGAAGACTGGCATGTGGTAATGCTCAGGGGTAGAGCCCCTGCCTAGAATCCCCAGTGAGGGGCTGGGGTGTGGCTCAGGGGTAGAGCCCCTGCCTAGAATCCCCAGTGAGGGGCTGGGGTGTGGCTTAGCGCAGAGCTCTTGCCTAGCTTGGGCAAGACCCTTGATGCCATACTGAGGACCAGAAAGAAGAAGAAGGAAAAAAAATGGCTTAGAGGTGTGAGGGAGTTTACTTTTTAATTAATTAGTTAATTAACTGTCTATGCTAGTATGCCTAAGTATATATGTATGCAGGAGCCCCCAGAGATCAGCAGAGGGTATCGGATACCCTGGGACTGGAATTACAGGTAGTTGTGAACTGCCATTTGGGCGCTGGGTATGGAGCCCGTGTCCTCAAGGAAAGCGGTAAGCGGTATTAACCAACCACTGAGCCATCTCTCCAGCCCCAAGAAGTAGCATTTGAAGAGGGATCTTAAAACAGATGAACAGTGAAACCTCACAGAGCTACAACCTCAGAGGGAAAGAGAGTCAGAGAGATAAAGATGACGCAAGTCATCAAGGAGGGAATGGGCACAGAAGGAACAGGTCAGAAGCAGAGTGGTGGGAAGGGTTGGGCAGGTATAGTTGAGGAGGAGGAGAAGTGAATGTATTGCAGAGTGGGAAATATGTAGGCTGGGCCACCTAGTAGGTCTGCAGAAACAGAAACCCCAAGAATGAGAAATAGAGCAGGAGGGAGGGCGGGAGAGAAAAAATTCATGTCATTGAGGACCTAGCCTTTGCACATAGCGTCTACTAATTAAGCCATGGATAGATTGTCTGTGTGAGCTGTATGGAACCCAGAGGCAGAGGGAGAGTGAAGGAGGCAGGCATGTGAGAAGACCTGGCTCTCCAGTAACTACCTGCATTCCAGAGGGATCCAGATTGGTGACAAAGGGATTTGAGCACACAGGAAAGGGGGCCTGCATCAGACAGCAGGGAGGGACAAAGAGAAGGTGCATAGCACTTGGCCAGGACAGGCAAATGGGAGATGACAGACTCACTGAATGAGTGAAAGAGGAAAGGCAAAAGTGAGCGTGGAGAGAAAGACTGACGGACAAGAAAGAAAATTGAGAAAACAATGGAAACTGAAGCTAGGTATGGTGGTGGAGGCCTATAATCTCAGTTCCTTGAAACACAAAGGCAGGAGGATTGGAAGTTTACAACACGGTCTTGCAAGGTGGCTCGGTGGGTCAGGTGCTAGCTGCCCACCTGAGGACATAGGTTTGCGCTCCTCAGCCCACACAGTGGAGGGAGAGAAGCAGTTCCTACAAGAGTCCTCTGACCATCACATATGCGCCGCGGTACATGTACACCCACCTCCCACCCCCACAGAAAAGAAATAATTAAAGAAGCAAGTTCCAGGCTTGCCTGGGCTACACTGAATTTGGAGTCAGCCTGGGTAAGTTAGCAGGATCTTGAATTAAACTAAAACGGTTGGGGTGTAGCTCTGTGTAGAGCATTTATCTGGCACATGCCAGGTCCTGGCTCTGATCCCAAGCCCCTCTGGGTGTGGTGGCTCAGGCAGGGGCTTAATCTTGAGGCCAGGTAGGCTGCTTAGTTCCAGGCCAGCTTGGGCTATAGAGTGAGACTATCTCCAGAAGCAAACCCAAGTAATAACAATAATTGAGATAAACTGGGAGGCAGAAAAGCTATCTCGGGAAGACCAAGGTCAGGGGATGGGCCAGCAGTAAAGGGGCCTTCGAACCACTAGCCTGTCTCCACAGAGGGGGCACCCAGGGCAGATCCCAGCCTTGGGGTGACTGGGTCCCCTGGCCCACAGGTCGGTGACGCGGAGTTATTACCGAGGGGCAGCTGGAGCCCTGCTGGTATACGACATCACCAGGTAGGTGCAGGGTCTGGGTGGCACGGGAGAGGCTGGGCATGGTGGGTGCAGGGTCTGGGTGGCACAGGAGAGGCCGGGCATGCAGGGTCCCACTCCGGTGCTGCCTTCCTCTTCTGTCCTTTCCTCACAGCCGGGAGACATACAACTCGCTGGCTGCGTGGCTGACTGACGCCCGAACACTGGCCAGCCCCAACATCGTAGTCATCCTCTGTGGCAACAAGAAGGACCTGGACCCTGAGCGTGAGGTCACTTTCCTAGAGGCCTCCCGCTTTGCTCAGGAGAATGGTGAGGGCTGTGCTGTGGTCTGGTGATGGGTAGAGGGGTAGCCAGCCTGTGGCCCCGTGTGCCTCTCAGCTTTTGATGGATGGTTGTGTCCTAAACATGGAGGCTTCAGCAGGCCTGCTTTGATTCCTAAGTACTGAGTCATGTGACCACTGTGGTCTTCAGGTTCAGCTGGAAAGTCTGCTGGCCAAGGTGCCTGCCTTAGCTTTTGCTGGTCCGGAGGAACTCCTGATAAACTTCCACACAGTGGGGGAGTCAGCACAGCAGTGGTTTAAGGTAGATACCTCAAACTCAGCTGACTCTACAGCTAAGACACCTTTGTGAATAATGGAGGTGAACCAGGGTGAGATCCCTAGGGGACAGGCACTTGTGCTCTGTGGTAGATCTCTTGCTTGGAATCCACCAGTGGAGGGCTGGGGGTGTGGCTCAGCCTAGCATGGCTGAGGCCCTGTTTTCAGTTTCTAGCACTAGGAAACTAGGTGAAGGTGAAGACAGGGGCAGGAGCATAAAGAAAAAGGTTAGTATTAACTCTTGAAAACATGGGCTGTCTAGACTACCCACATCTGCTGACTTGGGATCTGCCTATGTCCCATTTTTCTTTCTCTCTTATTTTTAATTTTAGCTCTTTGTTACTTTTGAGACAGAGCTTCATGTAGCCTAGGCTTGTCTCAAGCTCTCTGTACCCAAGGATGACCTTGAATTCCTGATTCTCCTTCCTAATGCTGGGATTGCAGGCGTAAGCTACCACGCCCGATTTATATGATGGTCGGGGTCAACTGAGTACTTCTGCGGCTCTTTTAAAAAGTTTATTATTCATCCATTTATTTATTTTTTGAAGATAGCTTTACCTTAGACTCAGCATGTTGCCCAGGCCGACCAGTACTTCTGACCGTCTGTGTTGTCTCTCTGCCTTCTCTAGGATTGCAGAGGGTACAAAAGCATGCCCAGCTCATGGCCTCCTGTTTTTCACAACCCCAAGTTTAGAAGAGGTTTTGCTGCCAGGCAGATGTGGTTTGAATCCTGAGACTAACTTGCCCAGTATGAGGCGCTGTCATGTGGCCACTGGTAGTGGTGGTGGGCTTGGGGCTGTGCTCAGTGAGTCTGGAGACGTTGACACACCGAGGAGGCACACAGTGCAGTGCTGGTGGAGGCAGGGAGGCAAATCCACGTGCTGATGGAGACATCAGGAGGCACAGGAGGCTGGTAGAGGCCTCCTGCCGCAGGCTGGGTCCTCGGGGAGGGGTTTCTAGGCAAGGGCCATGGGAGCTGAGCTGGGGAGGAAGAGCTGGTGCGTGTGTAGGTAGGCAGACACCATTCCCTGCAGGGCGATCTTGTACAGTGCCCAAGGCAAGCCAAGCATAGGTAGAGTTTCTGAAGACCCCAGAGTTGGAGTGGAGGGTGGAAACTGATTGAGGCCCTGCCTCTCCAGAGCTGATGTTCCTGGAGACCAGCGCTCTCACTGGTGAGAATGTGGAAGAAGCTTTCCTGAAGTGCGCACGCACCATCCTCAACAAGATCGACTCAGGTGAGACCCGCCTGCTCCATGTGAGAGGTAGCGATTGGGGGTTGGGAAAGGCAGGGCCCCATTGGCTCTGAGGAACATGCCTGACTTCTCCTCCCACAGGTGAACTAGACCCGGAGAGGATGGGCTCAGGCATTCAGTATGGTGACGTATCCCTTCGCCAGCTGAGGCAGCCTCGCAGCGCGCAGGCCGTGGCCCCTCAGCCTTGTGGCTGCTGAGACCTGCAGAGCCAGGTGGGATGCTGGGGCTCAAGAGGCAAGAGGGCTGCCTGTGCAGGGCGGGGCGGGCCACAGAGCAGCCTTCAAGACTTGGAAAACGTGACAAGAGTGACAAAGACACAAATGCCTATGAACCAAAGGAGCCATCTTCCCAGCCCCAGGGGAACCCTTGGGCCCTCTGCACCCCTGACCTTTACCAGCCTCAGCCTGCACCTGATCCCTCAGTCATGTTCTCACTGCTGTAATGAATCTCTGTTGTGTGCTAAGCCCTGGTGAAGCCTCTCAGGAGACAGCAATGGGTAAAACAGACCAAAACCAACCAAACAAAAATTCCTGTTTGCATGGTACCTCCATTGTCTTGGGAGAAGACAGCGCATAGATGAAATACTTAACATAAATTATATAGTAGTTGGGGAGAAAGAGTCGTGGAGGAAAACAGTTGACTAAGATGGATAGGACGAAGAATGCCCTTTTAAACAGGGTCCCTGAGAAGATGACATTTGAGTAGAAATGTGGAGCAGGAGAGTCAGAGGGGGCAGGTGAAAACAGTAAGTGCGGAGGCCCTGCCTCAGGAGCACACCCGGTGTGGCCAGGGAGGCCAGTGTGGGCATGTTGCACTAGGATACAGCATGAGCCGGGGACCTGGCCAGTGCGGATTGAAGGCCCTGTGGAGGTCTCTCAGTATTAGCTGGGTGCTGTTAGCCACGGGGGCCTGCTGAGCAGAGGAGGAGGCTCAGACTTTGCACATCGCACAGTCCCTCTGCCTGGGTGGAAGGAGGAGACTGGGGAGCAGGGCTGCTTGCTGGGTGCCAGTGAAAGCCTTGCTGAGGACTGGAGGGGGGCTCGAGGGGTGGAGTTCAGGTGATGGAGTGCTTGTGTAGTGTGCATGCAGGAAGCACTGGCTTCTCTACTGAGAGCTGTGCAAACTGGCAGCAATGGCAGTGTACATTCAGGAAGTGGCCTTAACACTGGAGTGGGTCGGAGGCCAGCCTGGGATGCCGAAGACCCTGTTGGCCACAGAGAGGGATAAATATCCAGCCGGAGGCAAGTAAGGGGTACTGAGAAGTGGCTGGTTTCTCTCCTATTCTCTCTCTTCTGACTTGTTCCCTTCAGAGGCAGGCAGTGGCTCTGTCTAAAGCTTAGATCTGTCCATGGCTCCTGGGGTCCATGGGGCTCTGCAGAAGCTGCTAGGCCTGGTGCTTGACCCTCTGCAGGGCCTCTTACACCTTTCCCTACTCCTTTGACTGTTCAAGGCACAGTAAAGTTCTGTTTCTTTGGATTTTTTTTTCAGGCCATGTTTTCTTGCCCTTTGCCCTGGTGACCTCCTCCCAGAAGCTTTGTTGGTTTTTCCATGCATGGTCCAGATTCCTTGACAGACCTGCAGGACTGCAGATTTTGGTCCCTTCCTCACCTCTGTACTGCAGGAAGCCTAGCCCCCTCCCCTCCCAGCCCCTGGCATGTCTAGGGTGGCTGTGGGGAAAGTCCTTAGGCTAGGACCCATTGGTTCTTGAGGGAATGCTTGTGGGATTAGAAAGAGAGAAAAGCCCAGGGTGAGCCATTCAGATAGTGTTCTTCCTTCCAGGCCTCTGCACTTGCTGGTCTGAGCCTGTTCCTCTTCTGTAGAAAAGGGACAGTCACCTTGATGTGTGTGGCGGAGAGGGAGTGATGAATTGTAGAGTATTTAGAGCTGGGCCTAACATTTGCTGGAAGCTTGATCCACAGTGCCATCCATTGCTTTCCTCCTTTCTCCTCCTCCTCCTTCCTTTGTTTTGTTTTTTTGAGACAGGGTTTCTCTGTGTACACTTGACTGTCCTGGACTCTGTAGACCAGACTGGCCTGGAACTCACAGAGATCCACCTGCCTCCGCCTCCTGAGCGCTGGGATCAAGGCGTACGCCACCACCGCCCAGCTATTGCTTTCCTTCCTGCCTATCTTAAAGGACTGGGAGGGTGAGTGTGGCTCTGTGGTAGGGCACTTGCCTCTCGTGAAGGTGGCCTTCTGGGGTGCAGTTCCAGCACCACAGAGTACCAAACCAAACCAGAGCACAAGGGACATTGGCTGTGCGGAGATAAACAGACGGACACCTCGGAACTTAGTGTAGCCTCTTTCCAGACTTTGCCCTCAATGAGTCACATGTACAGACTCCATTGACCATATGTCATACCTTATCTAAGGTAGTCCTGCCAATAGAAAAAAACTCAATTTTTTAAAACTTAAAAAAAACCTTTAGTGTTTTTTTTTTTTGGGGGGGGGAGTAGGTGGGAGAGGGTTCTTCAGGCTAATACAGAACTTACCTAGGATAGCCTCAAATTTGCATCAATCCTCTTGCCTTAGCCTTTTAAATGCTGAGATTATAAGCGGCTACCACCATGCCTGGTTACAAACAAATCTTTTGTTATTTTTGAGACAGGGTCTCTCTACATAGCCCTTACTGTCTGGGACTCATTCTGTAGACCAGGCTGGCCTTGAACTCACAGAGATCTACCTGTCTCTGCCTCTGTACTGGGACTAAAGGTGTACCACCAGGTCTGGCCTGATATTTTCTTTTATTCTAAAAACTTTTAAAGAGCATCTCTCCTCCCTCCAACTCTCTCTTTTTTTGTTGTTCTTTTTTTTACTCAGAGACATACAGCCCAGGCTGGTCTCCGGCTTCTATGTAGTCAAGGGTGACCTTGAACTTCTGATCCTTTGGCGTTCACCTCCCAAGTGCTGGATTACAGTACTACCCCACTGCATTCATGGGGTGCTGAGGATGGAACCAGGGCCCATGCAGGCTAGGCAAGCACTACAAACTCAGCTATATTTTTTCTTTTCTTTATTTCTTTGATTTCTTTTTCTTTTTTTTGAGACGGTAGCATAGGCTTGTAACTTGAGGCCTCTAATTTACTTCCTAAGTACTGGGATCACAGGTGTGACCCACCACGCCCTGTGGTCTCACTCCATTTAGACAAAAAGTCAGTCAGGGCCTACCAACACTGCCCTCTGTATACAGGGCACATTAGCATAAGTTGGAAAGCTTTAAGGATTCTGATGTCCAGGACTTACTTTAGGAAATTTCTAGAAAAATCGGGAAGCAGTCAAAGCAAAGACCGCTAATCTATTCTGTCTTTCCTGTTTGAAAAACATTGGATTGACCTAGCCTGGACCATTAGGGATAAAAAGGGACACAGAAATTTTCAAAGGTGGGGACTGTATTTAATTTATTTATTTTTTTTTCATGCTTTGTGTTTTTGAGACAGGATCTCACTATGTATGTAGCTCAGGTTAGCCTTAAACTTAACATCCTTCTTCTGCCTGTACATGTGTGAACCACCACCTGGCAAGGGTCGTGGTAGGTATTGAAACACTCCTTTACAGATGCGGACAAATAGGGAGATGCTCAGAGAGTAAATCTCCCACATTGCTTCAGAGGGGCACCCAAGTCAGACAGTGCACAGACAGGGTGCACGCAGACAGGTCAGGAATGTAGCCAGGACTGAGACAGCTTCCAGCTAGACTCCCGGATCCCTCCAGGTCATAATACCCTTCTCTTTCAGCTCACCTGTTCTCCTGGACCAGCCCTGCCCGAAGGCTGGGGCTCAGAACCAGGCCCCAAGAGGCCAGGCCCCAGTCTGCCCCAGCCCCAGAAAAGCTACTCTGTCAGCCATTCCCCCTTCCCTGGCCTTGGGGCCTGGCATTGGGGCAAGATTGAGCCACAGGGGAAGGGGGAACCCATACCTGCTGCTGCTTCCTCTGTCTTGGCTAACTATTCCCCCCGAGCCCCTAACCATACCTGAAGAACTCCCAAAGCTTGAGACCAGGGCCCTTTGGCCCCCACTTCCTGCCTGGCCCTGCTGTTGCAAGTCTGTTATTTATTACCTGGAGGCCTGCTCCATCCTGTCCCAGCCCTCCATAAAGTACTGTTTACACCCGAGTCTTGGCCTCTTCATTCTGAGAACGCAGAAGAGGTCCCGGATGGAGGTTAAGAATGGGCCTTTGCATGAGGAACCATGGTTCTGGGTGGGACTCTGTGGATATGTTGGGGTACATCCTGGCTCGCACACTCACTGATGCCAGAGTCTGGCATATACATGTCTTTTCTTTGGCTTTTTCCTACAACATCTCCTCCCCCCCTTTTTTTTTGACACAGGGCCTTGTAGCCTAGACTAACCAGAATCTGAGGTCTCTCTGCCTCAGCCTCCCCCGTGTCAGGACCGTCACAGGTGTGCCCATGAGCATGATCGGTCGAAGCTGGTGTGTGCAGCGATGACACACCCGTGTGTGACCTGGATGAGTCTCCCAGGACTTGGGTGTGAGAGCCTGTCAGTAGCAACGTGATGCTGTGGCATGTGAGTGGACTCTGGCCTGCTGAGTGTGTTGGTGAGGCTGCTGTTGTGTGCAGCGTCAGGACCGAGGAATTGGGCGTACAAAGGGGCCTTGATTCTGGGTCTGGTTTGACCAGCGGATGTCTCATGTCGGCCAACTAGGACAGTGGCTCACTGTGTTCCTGAGAACGTGTGTCCGAGATTTGTGTGTGCTTTCAGGTGTGTGTGTGTGAGAGAACACGAACCTTCTCCCTGTGCGACTGGTTTTCCGTAATCTGGACTCCTGGTCACACTTGGTGCTGGTATGTATCTCCTTTCACCCAGCGTCTTTACATGGCCTTCCGGTGACACAAGCAGCCCCCTCAGGACAGCATCAGCTGCTCGTGCTCGCCCCAAATGTCAGCAGGTATCCACCCCCTTCGTCGCCCACCTGGTAGGCCCAGGCCTTGGTGGAGAGGGTGGGACGTTCAAATACCCCTGTCCGGATAGCCCTGCCAGGAATGGTGGAGTAAGTGTTATGAGTAGCTCAGTGAGGGAGCGATGGCGTCCCTAGTCCCCAGTACTGCATAAACAAAAACAACGCCTAGGCTCAGAGGAGCTGGGTTCTGCAAATGTCTTCTCCGAGAGTCTGCCCCAAGTCGCTTTAATCTGACTTCCACAGTTGCCCTGAGGGAGCAGCGCGGAGAGGGTCATGCAAATAGTACATATTTGCTCGTTGGTTCTACCCGGCTCTGCTTCTCTGGGGACATCCCGTACTCACCGTTATTTTTTTTAAGTGCTTATGTAAATTACTGACGTAGGAATTTACATACACTTTCCAACTAGCTGCGCAGTCATTTCTCAATCTCTCCGGCTGGGCGGAGGGGCGGCCCATGTAAATGAGATATTTGCATGGCAAATGCCAAAACCGCCCCGCTGCCAGCCATTGACTGGCACTTTCGGCCCCACGGAGCGGGCCTTTCGATGTGAAACGCCTGGTTTGCTCGCACCCCCGCCCCCAGGGGCCGCCTTACAAACTCACAGAACGCATCTTCCTGACCCCGAGTGTTGGCCTTCCCGTGGAAGGGGCGGGGCGCCTAATGCAAACGAGCCCTGCGTCCGGGCGAGCTCGCCTTTCTTTCCCGGACGCCGTTCCAAGCCGCCTGTCAGCGTGCGGCTCGCGCACGCGCAGTCTCTCCGGCCGGGCCGCGGTCACGTGGTCGCCGGGCGAGGCGGGGGCGGGGCATGGCGCGCTGTGAGGCGCAGGGCGGCTGGCACAAACGGCGTCGCCGAGGCCGGAGGAAAAAGCTCGGT